CATCAACACATATTGCCAATCAAAATAAAAATAAAAGAGAGACAAAACAAAAATAAAAGATGGCAGAGGCACAAAATGACGCATAACGGTAAATAGCTGGAGTAAAAGGCTCCGATGGCATAACAAACGCCCGTAATTACGGTGTCCCACGCGGCGGTCCCACACCCTAGACGCAAAGTAGTTTTGTGTTGGACCTCACGGTCGTGTCACGTAGGAGTTTTCTTTTTCTCACTTTATGAAATACCAACTCCGACCGTGCGTGAGTGTTATACCTCTCGCGACTCCCTACGAGAGGTTAGGGATCCCGCGAGGTACAACATACCTCCACCTGCGGGAGCTGTCACCATCCCTTACGTAGGTGTATCCCTGCTGAGCTACTGACCCACGTGCGAAGGTTTTTACATGCAATCGCAGAGGTAGGCCAGCCGAGGGCGTTTTCTCGATTGCCGTAGCACAGGCATACGCGCGGTAGAACGCCTTAAGACTGACCCGTATGTCGTGCCCCGAGGCGCTAATTCCCCGGACCGACTATTAATCAGGTCGACTTTTCTAGGACAGTCTTCCACGCTTTACTAACTTAAGACAATGACTCTATGTTTCCTTTGTTGACCTTATGAAAATGTCAGAGTCAAACCCTTAGTAATCTCTCATTCTTCTCAAAAGAAGCCCCAGGCAAATGACTTTCTAGGTACCGACCAGCCTACGCTAAATGTATGTATGTAATCAGGGGAGCTAACTGAGCGGTGAACCTCACTTTCACGATTGTCGTGTCCCTTTGCCCGAATATCTCAGACGATCCCAAACTCAGAAGACAGCACAAACGTCCAACACCTGTGCAGATGCAAGACATCACATACACACATACAGATGCAGACACAGAATGCGCTACAAGCGTCAATCTTTAATCTATTCATAGTATGTCAATCACGCCCCAAACCCTTGAAAACAACATTCCTTTCTAACCCTGACTCCATTTTACCCCAGCCCCACATATTTTCGAAGACTCCTGAGTGTGATTTGGACAATTTAGGCATGGATACAGGGGGAAGATTTATCTGTTCCCTTCTCAGGTCTTGTCTTAGGTGTGGGTATCAAGCCATGGGTGGAAGTTGAGTCGGACTTCTACCGACATGTTATCAAATGATAACAGAATTGCTGTTCTTACGGATTCCCCGTAAGTTCCCCGAAGTGTCGAAACCTGTAGACACAACACAGTCCAAGAGAAACTTAACATCCCTCTTCCTAACTGAGATCTAAAAAGTTTCCTAGACTCTGTGTTTTCTGTCTGACTCCTATCCTTAACTAATTGTTTGGGTTGCTTCCCTTTCGCTTCAGGTAGTGAATAATAATTCACTTCCCTTTTTACTTGTCGTAGTAACTCTCCATATTCTCTTCACTATCTCATTCCTATCGACTTCTGGATTATCATGTCTGAGCTAACTTCCTTCTCCCAACACACATGAACACATCATCAATCCAACCTGTGGAAAAGAATCTCAAGGAAAGAAATCAGACAAATGGATAGTCTCTCTCTGAGGCAAGATCTCACTTATCGCCTCTCAGTACAATCAGAGATAGTTAGCTAAGACTGAACAATGCAGATTGTGGAGAAAGCTATAGGTGGTATGGCAGACCATTCAGGATATATCCACTTGTTACTGGAACTTGTTTGACAAAGGCAAATCTTGTGGGTCTTGGCCCCTGTGAGCCAAAACACACTTAGCGGTAGGCTTATCCTATGGCTAGCCACTGATAAGGCAGGTGTCCTTGAAACCTCGCTACTTCTTATATCGGACTCGTCACTGATAAGACAGGATTCCCCTGCTACCCTTATCACTAACTAGCCCTCAATAAAGCAGGTGCTCAAGGATCCTTGCTACTCTTATCACTGACTAAGTCCTAGGATGTTTATTGATAAGGCAGGTGTCCTTGAAACCTCACAACTCTTTTATCAGACTAGTCATTGATAAGACAGGATTCCCCTGGTACTCTTATCACTGGCTAGCCCTCAATAAGGCGGGTGTCCAAGGGTCCTTGCTTACTCTTACCACTGAAAAGAATGTTAGGTTTGATAGTGATAAGACAGATATCCTTGAAACCTCACAACTCTTATATCAGACTAGTCACTGATAAGACAGGATTCCCCTGCTACTCTTATCAGTGGCTTGCCCTCAATAAGGCGGG